AGCATGATACTACAACCACCATGCTTCACAGTAAAGATGGTGTTCTCAGGATGTTATTCGGTATTAGACCAAAAAGGTCAGTTTTGATCTCATCTAATCATAGAACATCTTCCACTTGGTCTAATCATTTCCCACATGCCTTCTGGCAAAGTAGTGGAGATTTGACTATTTTTTCAACAAAAGCTTTCATTTACCCACTCTCCCAATTAATTATTTGACTTCTAAACACAATTGGTTGGAGCAGATCCTGTGGACCAGATTAGGTGTGTAATAACAAATGAGGTAAATATGTATGCAATCTGTGTTATCTGTGGTGTTCTTAAAGGTTACTAACGTAACATAAATGTTTCAAAACGTAAAATTAATATAGATGTGGATAAACAGAAGAATAAAGTTTTAAGTGATTAATTTGAGTTCATAAGTATTTTCCAACATCCCACATTGTCAGTCTTTTACAGTATAATTAACTTTATTTTGTATTTTCTAGGTTATACTCCTGTTGAACTAATAGATTTTAAAATATTCTGTTGCATTATGAATATTTCAGTCACAATCTTTGCTACAGACATTTCTGATCACTGTTCATTATTTTTTTTATGAATAACCTTGGTCTTTGCTTTTTTGCAGCAGGATGGAAGCTCAGACGGTGTACAGATTAAAGGTAAGAATATATTTTATCCAAAGAATAAAACAACACAAGCATCTTTGTTCTGAGACCTAGTGGGTTCAAATCATTCATAATTTTACCTAAAATCAGAAGATGATTTGTCTTCCTGAAAAAAAGATCACGATTTTCAATGTCAAATATGTGTTTTTTTAAAGATTTATACTGTATGGAATGCAACAGCTAAGGAAACACAAACTATTTCAATATTTCTTTTAAACCAGAGCAATTAAAAATCAATGCAATTTGTGTTCAGTTTAAGATGGAAAACTAAATACAATTTCAATTAAAATAAAAATAAAATTTTGCTTTCAACTATATTTAAAGAACTTACATTCACAGAACTGCATATTTTTCATGTCAAAATAATTCAGATTCTGTAGTTCAAACAATATGAATTACTACACTTTTAAAATTAATTTTTTCAGATGAGTCTAAACCGTTGATGTGAAGTTTCAAATAATGTTGTGCTGTGCCGTACTGTCCTGTACAATGTTGTATTGCAACAGCAAAGACTAAACTAGGATTTTCACTATGATTTCTAATAATAACAATTTCTCATGGAATAAAATGTGATTGTGCTGTAGCTTGGCAAGGCTGTCTAATATTGGTTGTCTTTTGTCAGTGGCTTTGATTAGTTGATTGGGAAGAGGTTCAGTCACATTCTGGTTAGCAGAAAAAGCTAGCCATGGCAGGGTATCATGGTGTCAAAACTGATTTAAATTAAGGAAAGCTGTGGCCCTACCTAGTACATATCCCTTTGGTACTGTACAATTTACAACACCCTATTTTGAGCATTTATCCTTTATCTGTACTCTTCTCTTTATATCCATTAAACTGTTCTCAGTGCAACCACATTGTATTTCCATGAATGTCTATTTCCTGTATTTGAATTAATCGTAATGAGAATTCACATTTTATGAGAAACTTTATTAAACCCTTTTGAAAAATCTAACTCTACCACAATGTATATAATGTGTTTATTACCTTTGCTTTTTGTTGTTATTGTTTAAACAATTTTATCAAGTTACCTAAGCAAAACTTACAATTTCCAAATTTCTGTTGACTATCCATTAGGATCTTAATTCCATATATGTCTTTTAGATTCAATACTTGGTTTCTTTTGTCATCCTTTAATAGGTGTGTTACCATAATAACACTCACAACATTTTCCCAGTTAGTCTCGAGTCTTGAGTGATTTTTAGAAAAGTTGCATTCATGCCCTATGGATTATTTATCTTGTTTACTTAAATATAATTGGTAGGATATAATCGGGCATTGGAGATTTTCTTAATCTTAAGTACTTCTAGTATCTTCGACACTTCTGCCTCTCAGTATCTTGTTTACAGTACTTAAATATAATTGGTAGGAAATAATCGGCATTGGAGATTTTCTTAATCTTAAGTACTTCTAGTATCTTCAACACTTCTGCCTCTTCTAATTCATTCCATTTACTAGAGAACTTCATCAACAAGAGGTGGTTGTTTTTCTTCCTCTGTATATATGGTAAACCTGACTGAAATACTCATTTAGTGCATCAGTCATTTCCCTTTCATTGTCTAGACTAGGGGTCGGCAACCTACAGCACGCATGACATTTTTGGCATGCAAAGGTCTTTTAAACACCATGTGCACTTACAGTGGCATTTGCAATACAAATCAAATAACCCATGAAGAAATGAAGTAAAAAAAAACAATAAAAAACTTCTGTGTATGCTTGACTCTTTATAACATGCTACCCAATAAAAGCTCTTTGCATTATTTTTAAAGGGGCTGGCCTAATCTTTTCACTTGAAAGCTAGCAATCTGTGCTGCTGATAACATTTTTCACATGTCTATAGTCAGACATTTTGGATAAAATGGCAGTTGCCAGGAAAGCAAAATTAGATGTTTGCTCATTTCAAGCCCTTTTGAAGAGATAAATAGGAATTTCATCAATATAAAGACTGTGCTGTTGTGTTCTGAGTGCAACGGATGTAAGGGACATCCTTTACATCCAGAATTAAGATTAGAAATTCTTGTGAGTTATTGTAACTCAGATGGAATTCAAGAAGACCTGTATTTACTACGTCCTATAGATGGCATAACTGCAAGGGAAGATATAGCTAAGATAATCATTTTTAGGAAAGAGGAACTGACAAGAGAATATTTTCTGTGCAAATGACTGTGCCCAGTTAGTCTCCTCAGCATTATAGAAATTCATGATCCCTGTTACATATTTAAGTTACGGAAGTATTTGCACCATTTGGTACTAGTGTCTTTATTGCAGGATCAGTGATGCTGGCATCCTGAGAATTTGTACCTTGAGCTTTCACATCTTGATTGTGTGTTTCCAGATCACGGAGCTGAGCACATTTTTTTTGGTGATGTGATGTTCTGCAGTATTGTTAGCTTGAGTTTTATTTCCGTAGTCTCAGTCTCATAGGAATTCTTATGTTAAAGGAGATTGCTCCTCAATTACACTTCTACCACACCACCAGTTGGCTAAAACAAAGCAAGCTTTACTTTGATAGAAAATATAAATAATTAAAATATAAAATAAAAATGGGTGAAACCTCATCAGCTTAATGCTAACGAAAATGTCTCAAACCCCATTGTCATCTATCCAGATTATCAAAGGTAAATCAGTATTCTGTAGTGAATAAAACACTCCATCAGTCTTTGTTCTGTCACCTCAGATGTTTTCTGTTTTACAGAATCCAAACCACAGCAGAAGACCTAGTGTCATTTTAATGATGTTTCTTCCTGGAATTTATTGCGCTCCATTTAAGGCAATATGAAAATGATTACGCAGATAGATCAGACAGATGTGATATTCTTGGGCTGGTGTGGTGACACTACCAGAATGTGACCTGTACCTCACAGAGCCAGTTTCCATGTTTCTTTGTTCTAGTTTGATGATTGTTAAAACAGAACATCTCATTATCTTGGCATATTCTCTCAAAGGCATTTGATCTTCAATAATTCTAAGAGCAATAAGGTGCTGTTCATTACTGAAGTGAGGCATTCTCATATTTTCAGATAATGGTATAATCATTACCACACTTGTGGTCAACCAGTGTATCAGATCTTTTCAAATCAAACACCCTCTCCCAGGTGAACCAGCTAAAGCTAATCATACTGTATCTCACCTTGTGTCCAAGTGACAGTGAGCTAACACCTGTAGCGGCGAGGCTTATTAATAAGACAGAATTAAGTGTTGCGGTGCTTTCCCAAATGAGGCCC